ATATGCTAACCATCTGCCAGGTTTATTGGCATTACAAAAAGTATTATGTTTAGCATATTGTAAATTAGTTGCCACTTGGTCTGCTATTAACATGTTAAATTGACCTTTCAGTAAATTAATTGCCTCTTTAATTCTCTTATCTGTTGGATTGACTATCAAAGCTCGTTCTTGTTTTCTAATCTCTTCTTCTAGTTCCTTTCTTTTTTCCCCCTGTTTTTTTCTGTACTTATTATTCAAATATATCAAAATACCGCATATATGCTTTACTTGCATCCCACACCATTTCCATCGATGTACCCTTTTGCATATTCATAACAAAAAATTCTTTCATAAATTTTTTACACTGTTTAACATTTTCTTCATATCTAAACAAATTATCGTTTAACCTCCAGGACCTCCTAAGCCCCTTTCCATACTCCAGTTCCATCCAGACTGGACTATGGTCTGTCAATGTTCTTGAACAAATCTTCGTATTCTTCACCCTAGAAAAGAGGTCGTTAGTAATTAGTATAAAGTCAATCCTTGAAAAGGGTTGATGTCTATCCGAAAAGAAAGTAAAATCTTTTTCTTCTGGGTTTCTTTCACACCAAATATCCCTCAACTCCCAATCATCCATCATCTCCAAAAACGATTTGGGCAATCTTGCTTTTGCTGAAACATTTTGCTTAGGTCCCTTCTTGTCCTTTTTAACATCCAAAACACCATTCCAATCACCCAATAGGATACAAGTTTTGTATCCCCATTGTGTCAACTTAGAATGTAGACAATTATAAAATTTTTCCTGTTGTTGGTTCGGGGCGTATACTCCAATTAAAAGTAATTTTTCTCCCTTTATTAAAAGTTCAATTGCTAAGAATCTTCCTTGATTGTCTGCTTCAATTAATTTAGCAATTAAGTCTCTTTTCAAATATATAACTATACCATTTTTCTTCTCTGGTGCTGCTGCTACATAATGTGTACCTAATCTTGTATTTATTAAATATTTTTGATCTTCTATCCTAATATGAGTCTCTTGTAAACAAATTACGTCATTTTTAAATTGTTTAAGATAGTGAAACATTTTCCTCCTCTTCTGTGAAGAATTCAAACCATTAACATTCCAAGTTAAAAATCTAGTTCCCATGTTTGGCCCTCTGAAGCATTTGGAGCATTTGCTGATGGTCATGCCTCATTTGACCTTTAGGTCTGGCTCCTCCCACTGCTTCTGTTTTTGTAGTTCCTTGAGTTACCATCTGGAGTTGTTGCTGTCTTAATTCTTCCTTGCGTTTAGCTGTTGCTGCTCTGGCCTGTCTTTGATCCTTTGGTTCTTCTGGTATATCAATTAAATCCAAATCTTGAACAGCTATCTGGATTTGTAGCAAATCTTCTTGACTGGTCGAGGCTCCCCCCTGAACTATTGTCATCAGCTCTTCTCTCTCTCCTTCCATTACTTCCTTTTTTCTTTTAACTTCTGGTGATTTTGGTGGCCCAGCCTTTAACACGTTGGCATAGAAATCTCTTGCTTTCCATACTGTATTAAGCCGATATCTCTCACCCGAATAGTTCACAACTAAGCCGGCTGGCAGTATAGATTCCCATCTATACTGTATTTGGCATTTTCTCAGTTCATCCACCAGAAAGGCATAATCCCTTCTGGCTCTCAACATTCTTTCATTGTCATCACCTCCTGGCCTTCCACTTGAAGCTTATTTTTAAAGGTAGCCTGTAAAATTTCATTACGTAGTCTCCTTGTGGTAAAGTATATTACAATGTCTCTTGGTAAATGTTTCTGTCTGGCCACCCATGAATTGACGCGATATATCTTGTCAATCTGCCAGCCTAACTCCACTTTCTGCACCCCCAACATCTGTGCCAATGCCTCTGACATCATCTCTTTCAAATTCTCTTGTTTGTTCTCCTTCACCCCTCTTATTCTTAGAGCAAATTCCATATCTCTGTATTGAATCATTGTTACATCAGCTTCAGCCCTTTCAATTTTGTTCTGAGTCTCTCCTAATTTATTGTCCAAAATTTCAGTAGATTGCTTAATTTCTTCAACTTTATCATCCAAGATTTTAATGTGACCTGCCAAACCTTTAAATGCCAATATTATATCATCCCTATTTTCCTGAATCCGAACTGAGATCTCATCTGAAACAGACTGTGTTTTTTCATTAGTTTCATTAATTTTTTCATTAATCACAGTAGCAATTTTATCCTGTGTAGCTTTTAGGGCTTCTTGTATCATTTCAAACGTTAAAGTCTGTGGATCTGTTGGGGGAACAGAGGCTTACATTCTAGAAGTATGGGCTGGAGAGCTTCCGGCACTCCCAGTTCCTTTAATAGGAACAGTCTTTACAGGTTTTGAGGCCATTTTTCAGTTTAAATTAATCTTTGTATTTTAATCAGAAGTCAAAAAGAAGAGTTCAACAAAGTTGAAATTTTTTCCAGTCTTAAATTGATGTCTTAAAATCCTCCTCCTTTCAGTACAAAAATATTTCCCAAGCAAGAGGCTATCAGTGAAATGAAACTTTCCTTTAACTTTCACTTTCCATGCCCTTTCAAGCCTCAATCGCCATCTTGTTACAAATTTACTAAGTTGTTATTTCCGAAGGAGGTAATGAACATTGGAGTTAAGTTTAGATACTTGCAGTCTGACTTCTCCTGGCTTGTTCTGCCTGCAGCAATTTAGGATGTTGGAAATCCCCTCAGTTGTTATTGGCAGAATTGGTCGCGGCACCTTGCTCCACTAATTAGCAGAGTCGTCCAAGGTCCGGAGCAGATTGACAGGCTTCTAGGGAGCTCTCGCCCTTTGCGCCCCAGAATTTCTCCTAGGGCACTTGGGGAGCTCTACCTTCACCTTTCGGCTCTCCTCTCTCCCCTTCGCCCGGGGAGAAAGTTTCCAACTGCCAGACAGCTGTTTTTTGGCTGTTCTGGTGGCTTTGACGATACCGGGGATCGGGCGCTCACGGAGGAGCGTCTGCGATGCGCGTGGAGCCAACCGGAAGTCGCTTCAAAAGCCTTTTGAGGCCTGAACTTCAGCCTTGCCATCTCAACATATGAGCAATCATCCAATTCATCCAATTCCTGATTAACAATAGCTCAGAAGGTTTCAGATGTTTTTTCAGACTTCAAAGACATGAATTATCTTCATATTGTAGGCGTGTATATTTTTATTTCTGAATGTACATACCTGCAAATGTATAATCTATCCCCAGGACCTCCAGATAAACAGTCATGTGAAAAAGAAAATATACACACCTTGACTTTTATGATTTTATGTATCAAGGCATAGTAAAAATCAATTGGTCCTTAGGAGTTCTTAATAGTAGGTAAATACAACCATAGATGAACAACAGCACATGAAATATTACATCAGGTCATCATTTATTTTATAGAAAGGAAGCCAAAACAGAGAAGTCATATATGAAAAATGTATGATTCAATAATTTGTAGAACTATCTTTATCAGCAACAACTAGAAGTAATTGTTTTCTGTGTGACTTTATCAGTCTCTTGCAGTGTTGTGGAGGAATTTTGGCCCAGTCTTTTTTACAACATTGCTTCAGTTCATTGAGGTTTGTGGGTGTTTTTTTATGCACAACTCTCTTGAGGTCCTGCCAATTGGGTTGAGCTCTTGACTTTGATTGCATCACCTTGATTCTTTTTCAGCTATTTTGTTGTAGATTTGCTGATGTGTTTTGTGACCATTATCCTGTTGCATAATCCTTTGTCAGCCAAGCTTTAGCTATTGGTGAGATGGCCTGTGGCCCAATTGTATTATGGCCAACCATCTCCACTTTGGTCTGGTGTGTGCAAAGGACAGTGTTCCCGAAGTCCTGTGATTTGTTCAGATGCAACTTTGCAAACAACAGCCATGTGCTATGACCTTTTTAGAGAGAAGAGGCTTTCTCCATTCAACCCTTCCAAACGAACCATACTTCTTCAGTATTTTTCTAATTCCATTGTTATGAATCTTAACATTTAACATGCTAACTGAAGCCTGTAGAGCAGGGGCATCAAACATGCGTCATCACTGCATGATCATGTGACGTATCACAACATTTTCCCCCTTCTTTAAACGTGGCCGTGGCCGGTGCGTGACCCATCTGGCCCACAGGCCACTAGTTTGACAGCTCTGCTGTAGAGTCTGAGATATAACTCTTTGCAATTTCTCTAGCCATTCCACCATCTGACCTTGGGCTGAATTTCCTTGAACGTCCACTCCTGGGAAGATTAGCAACTCTCCTGAATGCTTTACACTTCTCTTCCACACTGTAGAATCATGGGTTTTTAATTGTTTGGAAATGACCTTTTAAACCTTCCCAATTTGATGGGCAGCAACAATTTCTTCTCTAAGATCATTGCTGATTCTTTATTCTTTGGCATTGTGTTAACACAGAACTCAGTGTCAGAGATAGATGTAATCATACTTGCTGATTATCAATTGATCAAGGGCATTTTATTAGCAGTACGTGGCTGTTACTTCCCCTCTTTATACTCTGGAAGCAGTGAGAAATTTCCTAATGGTGAGAACAATTAACCAGCGGAACAGCTGGCCTTCAGAAGTTGTGGTGCTCCATCACTGGAGGCTTTTCAGAAGAGATGAGACAGCCATTTGTCTGAAATGATATAGGGTGACCTCCAAGGTCCCTTCCAATTCTGTTATTCTCTTCTGTTCTGTTGCGATGATATTTATGATACCCTGATAAGTAAAACCACAAGAAATCAAAGCAGGTGTAGTTTCTTTTTCAATTGATAGTATTTGAAAACAACCTTTGCATTGCTAAGAATTTGTGATTGACTGAAGTCAACAATCGAATTAGAATCATTGAATGGATATTCGAACTTGGATCTGGGTGGTCTTCCATGTGTCAATTGAATCATGATCAATGTAAGAGCTTATTGGAGCATTGTGGCATGTTTGCTTTTTCATTATAATGTAAACTTTTTTCTTCTTTTCTCATCTTCTGCAGCCATTTTATGCACAATTAAAGATACACTTTTATTTGAATCTTATAGACAAAGAAGATGGCAATGAGCACTCTGGACAACTGAGGATAACAACAACCAGTAATTCAAAGCAGCACTAAAGATATTATCCATATTTTTGACCACCTCAAGAATATTAGTTGTGGAAAAGCTCCATAGACGTTTCTGTTCTGGGAAAGATACAACTTGCAAATCACAGCTGATTATGCCAGAGGGGACCCATACTGGTGAAAAAACGTACAAATACTCTGTATGTGGCAAAAGTTTTGGTCACAACTTGATTTTCTTTCATGGAAGGACCCACACAAGAGAGAAGCCGTACAAATGTTCCCAATGCGGTAAATGCTTTAGCAAGCATGGTAACATGGACTCACACCAAGGAGAAACCCTTTGAATGTCCTGATTGTGGGAAATTTTTCAGTCAGAATTCCAGCCTGATTCAACACCAGAGGCCTCACACAGGAGAGAAACCCTTTGAATGTCCTGACTGTGGGAAAAGTTTCAGTGAAAATTCCAGCCTGATTAAACACCAGAGGATTCACACAGGAGAGAAACCCTTTGAATGTCCTGATTGTCGGAAAAGTTTCAGTCAGAATTCCAGCCTGGTTCAACACCAGAGGACTCACACAGGAGAGAAACCATTTGAATGTCCTGACTGTGGGAAAAGTTTCAGTCAAAATTCCAACCTGATTGGCCACCAGAGGACCCACACAGGAGAGAAACCCTTTGAATGTCCTGACTGTGAGAAAAGTTTCAGTCAAAATTCCAGCCTGGTTAAACACCAGAGGATTCACACAGGAGAGAAACCCTTTGAATGTCCTGACTGTGGGAAAAGTTTCAGTCAGAATTCCAGCCTGGTTCAACACCAGAGGATTCACACAGGAGTGAAACCTTTTGAATGTCCTGACTGTGGGAAAAGTTTCAGTCGGAATTCCAACCTCATTGGCCACCAGAGGACTCACACAGGAGAGAAACCCTTTGAATGTCCTGACTGTGGGAAATGTTTCAGTCAGAATTCCAGCCTGGTTCAACACCAAAGGATTCACACAGGAGTGAAACCCTTTGAATGTCCTGATTGTGGGAAAAGTTTCCGTCAGATTTCCAGCCTGGTTAAACACCAGAGGACTCATACAGAAGAGAAACCCTTTGAATGTCCTGATTGTGGGAAAAGTTTCAGTCGGAATTCCAGCCTGGTTAAACACCAGAGGATTCACACAGGAGTGAAACCCTTTGAATGTCCTGACTGTGGGAAAAGTTTCAGTCGGAATTCCAACCTCATTGGCCACCAGAGGACTCACACCGGAGAGAAACCCTTTGAATGTCCTGACTGTGGGAAAAGTTTCAGTCAATATTTCAACCTCATTGGCCACCAGAGGATTCACACAGGAGAGAAACCCTTTGAATGTCCTGACTGTGGGAAAAGTTTCAGTCAGAATTCCAGCCTGGTTCAACACCAAAGGATTCACACAGGAGAGAAACCCTTTAAATGTCCTCATTGTGGGAAATGTTTCAGTGATAATTCCAGCGTGCTTAAACACCAGAGAACTCACACAGGAGAGAAACCATATGAGTGTCCAGACTGTGGGAAATGTTTCAGTGAAAATTCTAACTTGGTTAGACACCAGAGAACTCACACAGGAGAGAAACCATATGAGTGTCCAGACTGTGGGAAAGATTTCAGTACTAAGGATAGCCTTCTAAATCATACACACAGGGGAAAAACCATTTAAGTGCCCCGAGTGTGCATGATGCTTCAGGAAACCTTCCAACCTTATCGTACACAAGAAAATCCACATGAGGCCCAATGTGATGAGTGTAGTAAGGGTTTGAAATTCATTTCTAATGTCACATTGTAAGTCCAGCTGAGAAATTGACTATTTAATTTGACTACAAAGAATTTGCCTGATTTTTTGTAGGCAAATATGTCATGATTTTAGTCAGAAAGGAAGAAAGAAAAAATTGGAACATACTAGTTTGATAAAGGCTATCTGGCCATCAGCAGCAGAAGTTGCTGAATATTTATTTTTGCAGAAATTGTGCAATTATGTAAAAATCTTTTTGGGAGTGTTCTTTGCATTTTTATCATGGTAGATGATAGAAATGCCACAGGCATAGTCCCAGCCTTTTTCTCCCTGGGTGCCCCCGAGATTTTCAGCCCCAGAATTCCCCCAGCCAGCATCTCTTTGGGATAGGAGCACCCAGACTATAGTTAAGAGATTGTGGCTCCTTATATAATAGCAATAGCACCTTGACTTATTTACCGCTTCACAGTGCTTTATAGCCCTCTCTAAGTGGTTTACATAGTCAGCATATTGCCCTCAACAATCTGGGTCCTCATTTTATCGACCTCGGAAGGATAGAAAGCCAAGTCAACCTTGAGCCGGTGGGAATTGAGCTGCCAAACTGCGCCACCATGGCTCTTATGAGGAGAAAGTGAGCGTAGAGTGGAGGGATTCAAAGTTCATCTTTTCCTAACTGTTCCAGGAATTCAGCGCACGAAGCATGTCTGTTCAGATTGTGTCAAGAATGAGGCACGCAAGTGGAAGAAACCACAAAACCAGTGTAATATTTCAGATGTAAAGGCTGTTCTGCCCTGCAGGTGACCTTTTTTTTTTTTTTTTTTTAATTTGATTTATATGCCGCCCTTCTCCGAAGACTCAGGGCGGCTTACAATGTGCTCAGCAATAGCCTTCATCCTTTTGTATATTTATACAAAGTCAGCTTATTGCCCCCACAAACTGGGTCCTCATTTCACCTACCTTAGAAAGGATGGAAGGCTGAGTCAACCTTGAGCCTTGGCGAGATTCGAACCCTGCAGTAATTGCAGGCAGCTGGTCTTAAGCAGCTTAATAACAGGGTGCCTTAAACCCTAGTACTACCAAGGACCTTCATGAAGAAGAGCTGTAGAAATACTGAGTTGAGGAGAAAAGGGATAGTAGTTTTCAGCACAGGATCTCCAGGTTTATTCACAACTCCTGCTGTGATCTCCTTTGTTTTTAGGGGCCTCCTTGTTAAGACTTTGACAGCTGGGCCCTGAGAACAGCACCAAGGGACTGATCCTTTTGTGGTTCTCCCCTCTTGGTGGGGAGATGTGAGAAAAAAATTGTACAGTAGATAATCAAGCAAAATTAAATGAAGCCAATCTAAGAGTCAGAGGGGATGGTCTATAGAGCGAGGTCAAAAGCCATAAGTCCCTACTCAGACGAACAGTCCATTTCCTCAGAATCAAACTTTGAAGCTCAGATTGAAAGGTGGAAAGTAGGTGTTATATTTGGAAGATACTGGATCTTAAAAACTGCAGCCTTGAATTTGGGGCTGGAGTAGCAGGAACAGCTGTATGGATAGATTTTTTGGGGAGGAAGAAAGCCCAGTTTGGTGGTCAACAGGCTACAGCCTGAGAGACGCTCATTTCCGGTCCTGCTTTAGGCACAAAGCCATCTCAGAGACTTGGCCTGTCCCGTCCTGTCAGGTCTTTGAAGGGAAATCTGCTTACAAAAAATCTTGCCAAGGAAACTGCAGAGAAACGGGAGTGCAGGATAACTCCCCAAAACCTACTTTTGCAACTTTGGAGAGTGAAGCCTGACCTACTTAGCTTCCCAAGATTAGGGACATGTTGTGCCATAAATATTTATGAAGTTCTTGTTTGTATGCACAGCTGCTAAATTATTTCCAGCTTCATCCTATGAATGGAATAATGAAACCTGGAACAATAACAATAACACTCACCTTCCAAACCACATCTAGATAGGAGAGATTCTGTCTGCATTGAAGGAAGGGCGGAGGATTTCGGACAATACCTGTATGACAAAATCGCTCAGATCCGGGTGGATTTGGACTCTGACTGGGTAGATCAGGGCAGGGTGACGAGGAACAGTCTTGAGAATGTTATCTGGGAGGAGTTTGATGCTGTGACTCCCGATGATGTGGACAGGATTTTGCGGAGACTTAGTGCGGCCAAAAGTTTACTGGACCCGTGTCCCTCCTGGTTGGTACTGGCTTCCCGGGAGGTTACACGAGGCTGGCTCCAGGGCGTCATTAATGCTTTGTTGAGTGAGGGTCACCTCCCCGCTGCCCTGAAAGAGGCGGTGGTGAGGCCTCTCCTCAAGAAGCTGTCCCTGGATCCGGCAATATTGGCTAACTATCGTCCTGTCTCCAACCTTGGCTTCATTGCGAAGGTTATTGAGAGTGTGGTCGCGCAACAGTTTCCGCAATTCCTGGAGGAAACATCCTATCTAGATCCATTCCAGTCGGGTTTCAGGTCTGGGCACAGCACGGAAACGGCATTGGTCGCGTTGGTGGATGATCTCTGGAGGGCTCGGGACAAGGGTTGTTCCTCTGTTCTGGTCCTATTAGATCTCTCAGCGGCTTTTGATACCATCGACCATGGTATCATGCTGCACCGGCTGGAAGAGTTGGGGGTGGGAGGCACTGTGTTGCGGTGGTTCTCCTCCTTTCTCTCCGACCGGTCGCAGTCTGTGTTGGCAGGGGGGCAGAGGTCGACCTCGAGGCCTCTCATCTGTGGAGTGCCGCAGGGATCGGTCCTCTCGCCCCTTCTGTTCAACATTTATGTGAAGCCGCTGGGTGAGATCATCCGTGGCTTTGGGGTGAGATACCATCAGTACGCTGATGACACCCAGCTGTACATCTCCACCCCAGGCCACCCCAACGATGCCCTTGAAGTGATGTCCCAGTGCCTGGAGGCTGTGCGGATCTGGATGGGGAGGAACAGGCTCAAGCTCAACCCTTCCAAGACTGAGTGGCTGTGACTCCCGGCATCCCGATATAGTCAGTTGACTCCATCACTGACTATTGGGGGCGAGTCTTTGGCCCCCACTGAAAGGGCTCGGAATCTGGGAGTCCTCCTGGATAGGCAGCTGTCTTTGGAGGAACATCTGACGGCTGTCACCAGGGGGACCTTTTATCAGGTTCGCCTGATTCGCCAGTTGCGGCCCTTTCTCGATCGGGATTCCTTGTGCACAGTCACTCACGCCTTCGTCACCTCTCACCTTGACTACTGCAATGCTCTCTACATGGGGCTCCCCTTGAAGAGCACCCAGAGGCTCCAGCTGGTCCAGAATGCAGCAGCGCGGGTAGTGATGGGAGCAACATGGCGCTCCCATGTAACACTGCTCCTGCGCGAGCTGCACTGGCTCCCGGTGGTCTTCCGGGTGCGCTTCAAGGTGTTGGTTATCACCTTTAAAGCGCTCCATGGCATAGGGCCTAGCTATCTTCGAGACCGCCTGCTGCTACCGACGACCTCCCATCGACCCGTGTGCTCCCACAGAGAGGGCCTCCTCAGGGTGCCATCAGCCAAACAATGTAGGCTGGTGACCCCCAGGGGGAGGGCCTTCTCGGTGGGGGCTCCCACCCTCTGGAATCAGTTGCCCCCGGAGATAAGGAGAATCCATGACCTCAATGCCTTCTGTCGTTCCCTGAAAACCCATCTTTTCCAGCAAGCCGGGTTGGCTTAAGAAGAAATTTTTAAATTCTTTTAATCAGTCTGTGATTTTTTAACTTTCGGGCCAAAATTTATATATATTTTTAAATGTTTTTTAATATTTGTATTCTTTGTTTTTTTTTCTTGGCTGTACACCGCCCTGAGTCCTCAGGGAGAAGGGCGGTATATAAATTGGAAATTAAATTAAATTAAATTAAATTAAAATCCTTGCAGAGCCTAAATCTCACTAGAGGGAAGAGTTGCTCTGAGCAGCCTTCCCAATTTCCACAGGAGTTAGCTTTATTATTCCCAAACAGTTTGGGCAAAAGACTTGGAGAGCTATACTTTGCAGAAAGCTGATGGGTTTCTGCACTTTCTTAGGGGTGACTCAGTGGAGATCAAAACCTCTCTACATCCCCCAAACTTTATGACTGATTTCCTGTGTCTGCCAAGGATTTAAGACCCAGGAGAATCAGTGGGTCAGAGGCTCAAAGGGAGCCAGCTTCATTCATGCTGCCCAGAGATGCTTCCAAGCACACCCATGCTAAATGCCTTGTGCGTCTGTAACTTTGCATACACAGAAGTCTCCATTAGGTCAAAGTGAGAAAGTCACATACCCAGCAGGGCTGGAAAAGGGGGTTTAACAAGAGGAGATGACTGCCTGTATATGGTAAGAGCAATGTTTCCAAAAGGCATTTCCAAGGGCTGGAAAAAAGATTGGTAATACAGATGTTCATGCAACAATGTACCACTCTTTGTTTGATACCCATTCCTTTTTTACATTCAAAATATTAATCTAATAAAATATACAAAATCCTTGCCAAGGAAACTGCAAGGCCAGGCATCAAGACTGACTCTTTGTTTCATACACATTCCTTTTTTTAATTAGAAAATTTAATCTAATAAAATATATAAATCAAATAAAAACAAAGAATGGATAGAGAGAAGCAGGAAAGGAATCGAAAAAAGAAAAATATAATTGCACCTTCCTCCTTTTTCTCTGTTGAGAAATTGTCATCACGCATTCTTATATAGAAATTATCTCTGCTCAGTTGACCAGAATAAAAACTGCAAGGCCAGGCATCAAGACTGACCCAAAGGCACCAAAACCGAAGTAGCATCACGTTTCACTTTTTCACTTGGCTCAGTTGCAAAGGTCGGTTGCTGGGAATCGAAAACGACCTGCTGCAATGTAATCACAGGAAACCTCTTCCAAACGCCTTGGTGGAGATTGGAAAAGCCTGTTTTTCCACCTCCTGTCGCTAGATGGCGGACAAGCAACATCTGTGCCTAGAAAGCCATCAACACTGCATTGCTAGAAAGGCTGGGAGGAGAGGAGAAGCGCAGAGGAACTTCCTCTTCCGGATGACTCAAGGGAGGAAGTTGGTGTGCAGAGCGGCTTTTGTGCTGTTTCCATGGTGGAAGCAGCAGCTGGCAGGTGAGTGGAGGGCAGCAGGTGGGAGGAGAGTCCGGGAGCAACTTGGGCTGGAAGCGGAGAAGCAACTGGGCTGAAGCCTCTCAGCTGCGGCTGCTGCAGGTTCCCTCCCTCCCCAAATGGAAGCCCACTGGTGCTGCAGGCTGGGAAACTGGGGGCTGCAATTTCTGCTGGTGGGAAGCTTGAAAAAGCCTCTTTCAAGTGGAGGTTGGTTCTTTGGGAATGGCTTCCCTCCAGAGGTTGTGGCTGCTCCGTCCCTGGAGGGTTTTGAGGGGCGATTGGGCAGCCATTTGTTCTGGACGGAATAGGGTCTCCTGCCTGAACAGGGGATGGACTAGAAGACCTCCAAGGTCCCCCCAACTCAATTCTTCTCTTATGGACCTGATGTTTTCTGGGCAACAAGATCGGATTTATTTGCCTCTGGTCTTTTTTGGGTTGTTTTGCTTCCATTTCTAGTTAACAAACACAGTGTTTCCAACTGGTGCCCCCATCTGTGTATTCACCAGGCTCAACTGTGCTTAACCCCGCACTTTTTTAAAAAGCTATTGAATGTTTTGACTGTTCAGGTGTATTTATTTATAATATTTATTGTCCACCAACCTTATTATGACATAACTGTGGGCAGCTTAGAGACATAAAAAATACATACACATTAACACAGATGTAAGTTGGCACTATCATGTGACATGATTGGGCTTCATGATTGGGCTGCTTAATGACACAGTTGCCAGTCCCAATTGCAGTCAGTAAGTGAGGACTACTTCAATTGGGATGTCACCAAAGGGGTTGTGGAAGGTATTTTCTGCCCTTACCTAGAGCTCATGGTTTCCATGGCCATAACTGTTGCTTCAAATCTTGCAGAGGTTTTAGGCCAGAGGTGGGTTTCAGCAAGTTCTGACCAGTTCTGGAGAACCAGTACTGGAAATTTTGAATAGTTCTGAGAACCGGTAATAAAAATTCTGATTGGCCCCACCCCCATCTATTCTCTGCCTCCCATGTCCCAGCTGATCGGGAGGAAATGGGGATTTTGCAGTATACTTTCCCTGGAGAGGGGTGGGAATGGAGATTTTACATATCCTTCCCCTGCCACGCCCACCAAGCCACACCCACAGAACCGGTAGTAAAAAATTTTGAAACCCACCACTGTTTTAGGCATCATTTCATCAGTTAAAGCTCCCACATCTTTAAAGTTAGTGTCATGCAGATTGACAGGTGTGGCTCATTAAAAGACAGAGTCCAAGTGTGTGTGTTGATAAGACAATGCATTTATTCATCTGAATTAAGACGGGTCCCTCCTAAGAAGGAAGAAACACTGAGCATAGTGCAACACAGATATTTATAAATTTCTTTGCTTTCACTTCATTACATAAGAGGCAGTTGACAGATAAGGTATAGAGATATAGAAATTATAAAAATAGTCAAGCATGCCTTCTGTGGTTTTTGTCACATGCCTAACAAACAGGCTGGTGGTTTCCTGTGAAAGTTTCCATGGCCTCAGAAGCCTGTTGAGGAGGGGTGAAATGCTCCCGGTTCGGACTGGATTGCCCGATCCTTTAGCGATGGCGGTGGGTGGTTCGGAGAACCGGTAGCAAAAATCCCTGTGCCCCCCCCCATGCCCAGCTGAGCCGCACAATCATCAGAGGCTTTTTTTTTTACTCTTAAAAGCATTTTTTCTACAACTTCTTCCACTGAAAAAATGCTTTTAAAAGTAAAAAAAAAGCTTCTGATGATCACGCAGCTCAGCTGGGATCATTAGAGGCTTTTCAAAGCATTTTTTTCTGCAACCTCTTGGCCAAAGAGGTGGTAAAAAAAATGCTTTGAAAAGTCTCTGACGATTGTTTTGCATTTGCAGAATGCGAGGCACTAGCAAGTGAAGCAATCTTCTCTTGCCAAAGATCAGTTGTGCTTTAAAAGCTGTTTTTTATCCCCAAACGGGGGATAAAAAGCACAAGCGCGCGTGCTCAAAACCAGCAAACTAATGTGCTGAAGCTGACCAGACTAAGGACGCTAGCCAGATGAATACCTGGTAGGCAGATTTCCCCCCCACCCCCTTATTTTTCTCCCCAAAAGCTAAGATGTGTTTTATACTTCGGTGCGTCTTATACTCTGAAAAATACGATAGGTAAATACAACCGTAGATGAACAACAACACATGACATGTTACATCAGGTCATCATTTATTTTATAAAAAGGAAGCCAAAACAGAGAAATCATGTGTGAAAACACATATGATTCAATAATTTGTAGAACCACCTTAAGCAGCAACAACTAGAAGTAATTCTTTTCTATGTGACTTTAACAGTCTCTTGCAGTGATGTGTCCAGCGCGTGATCAATCTGGCCCACAGGCCACTAGTTTGACAGCCCTGCTGTAGAGTCTGAGATATAACTCTTTGATTTTTTGTAATTTTTGCCATTGCACCATCTGACCTTTGGCTGAATTTCCTTGAACGTCCACTCCTCACAAGTTTAATAACTCTCCTGATTGTTTTACACTTGTGAATAATCTTCCCCACTGTAGAATGATGGGGTTTTAATTGTTTGGAAATGGCCTTTTAAACCTTCCCAAATTGGTGGGCAGCAACAATTTCTTTTCTAATTATCATTGCTGATTCTTTATTCTTTGGCACTGTGTTAACACACAACTCAATGCCGGAGGCCAGCAAACTCCTATAACTTTGGCTTTTGTAGATGTAGCCACATTTGCTGATGATATTAGAAAAGGAATTGTTGCTGCCCACCAATGTGAAGTCATGTCTGACTCATCGCAACCCCATGGACAACGTTCCTCCAGGCCTTCCTGTCCTCTACCATCCTCTGGAATCCATTTAAGCTCACGCCTACTGTTTCAGTGACTCCATCCAGCCACCTTGTTCTCTATCGTCCCGTTCTTCTTTTGCAAGCGTCTTTTAATTTCTTGGCTGTAATCCCCATCTGCAGTGATCTTGGAGCCCAGGAAAATAAAATCTGTCACTACATCCATTTCTTCCCCTTCTCTTTGCCAAGAATTGAAAGGGCCAGTGCCATGATCTTAGTTTTCTTAACGTTGAGTTTCAAGCCAACTTTTGCACTCTCCTTCTTTACCTGCATCAAGAGGCTCTTTACACAACTCAATGCTGGAGACCAGCAAACTCTCACAACTTCGGCTTTTATAGATGTAGTCATACTTGTTGATGATCAATTGATCAAGGGCATTTTATTAGAAATACTTGGCTGCTCCTTCATTTCTGAATACTTCTTTATACTATGGAACCTAATGGTGAGAACAAGTAACCAGCAGAACGGCTGGCCTTCAGAAGTTGTAGTGGTCCATCACTGGAGGCTTTTCGAAAGAGACAAAAGAGCCACTTGTCTGAAATGGTATAGGGTTTCCTGCTTGAGCAGCAATTTGATTAGAAGACATGCAAGGTCCCTTCCAATTCTATTATGTTCTTCTGCTCTGTTGCAATGATATTTATGATACCCTGTTACCATAAGTAAAACCACAGGAATCAAAGTGAGTGTAGTTGGCACTGCTAAGATTTTGTGATTGACCCAGTCAACAAGTGAATTTCATAATTGAAAGGATATTTGAACTTGGATGTAGGTCAGGGGTCACCAACTTTTCGGATCTCAGGGACTAATAAATTCATAATTTTAAATCCAGTGGACCACTAATATGAATTTTTTAAAATGATAAATAGTATTTAGTATTTTAGTACGATATAAAAAATTGCAAATATTTTTTTGCGGACCACCAACATTTTCTCATGGACTACCACTGGTCCACGGACCATCGGCGGGAAACCGCTGATCTGGGTAGTCTTCCATGTGTCAAATGAATCATAATTAATGTAAGAGCTTATTAGAGCATTGTGGCATGCTTGCTTTTTCATTGTAATGTAAACTTTTTTTTTTTCATCTTCCTCAACCATTTTATGCACAATTAAAGATGCACTTTTATTTGAATCTTATAGACAAAGAGGATGGCACTAAGAGTGCTTTGGATAACTGAGGATAACAAGCAACATTGAATAGCAAAACAAATCAGTCCAGAAATCAAAATATTTTCCATTTCCTTCACAGAGCCTACAATTCTTCGCCTTCACCTTCCTCAGCAACTGGGAGAGAAACGAGATAAAATCAAGAAGAGATTTCTAGCTGGGAAAAGTAGAGTGTGAAATTCAAGCATGTATTACATGAAAAGTGTTACAGGCTCTGGGAAGAAGAAAACGGCTTGAATCAAAGCTTGTGTAAAGAAGGGATCATCCATATTTTTGACCTCGTCAAGAATATTGGTTGTCGAAGAGCTCCATAGATGTGTCTGTTGTAGGAAAGATACAACTTGCAAAGCACAGCTGATTATGCCTGAGAGGATCCAGACTGGAGAAAAGTCGTACAAATACTCTGAATGTGGCACCATTGTGGTCAGTGAAAGGATCCATATAGGAGAGAAGCCCTACAAGTGCTCGTAATGCGGTAAATGCTTTAGCGAAAATGGCAATGTGGACTCACACCGAAGAGAAACCCTTTGTATGTCCTATCTGTGGGAAAAGTTTCAGTACCAATTCCAACCTGGTGAGACACCAGAGGACTCACACAGGAGAGAAACCCTTTGAATGTCCTGATTGTGGTAAAAGTTTCAGTAACAATTCCAACCTCGTGAAACACCAGAGGACTCACACAGGAGAGAAACCCTTTGAATGTTCTGATTGTGGAAAAAGTTTCAGTCAGAGTTCCCACCTCGTTCTACACCAGAGGACTCATACAGGAGAGAAACCCTTTAAATGTCCTGACTGTGGGAAAAGTTTCAGTCAGAATTCCAACCTCATTGGCCACCAGAGGACTCACACAGGAGAGAAACCCTTTGAATGTCCTGACTGTGGGAAAAGGTTCAGTCAGAATTCCAGCCTCATTGGCCACCAGAGGACTCACACAGGAGAGAAACCCTTTGAATGTCCTGATTGTGAGAAATGTTTCATTCAGAATTCCAGGCTGGTTCAACACCAGAGGACTCACACAGGAGCGAAACCTTTTAAATGTCCTGACTGTGGGAAAAGCTTTAGTCAGAATTCCAGCTTGGTTCAACACCAGAAGATTCACACAGGAGTGAAACCCTTTAAATGTCCTGACTGTGGGAAAAGTTTCAGTCAGAATTCCAGCCTGGTTCAACACCAAAGGATTCACACAGGAGAGAAACCCTTTGAATGTCCTGACTGTGGGAAAAGTTTCAGTCAGAATTCCATCCTGATTCAACACCAGAGGACTCACACAGGAGAGAAACCCTTTGAATGTCCTGACTGTGGGAAAAGTTTTAGTCATAATTCCAGCCTGTTTCAACACCAGAGGACTCACACAGGAGAGAAATCCTTGGAATGTCCTGATTGTGGGAAATGTTTCAGTCAGAAGTCCAGCCTGTTTCAACACCAGAGGACTCATACAGGAGAGAAACCCTTTGAATGTCCTGACTGTGGGAAATGTTTCAGTCAGAATTCCACCCTGATTCAACACCAGAGGACTCACACAGGAGAGAAACCCTTTGAATGTCCTGATTGTGGGAAAAGTTTCAGTCAGAATTCCACCCTGATTCAACACCAGAGAACTCACACAGGAGAAAAACCCTTGGAATGTCCTGATTGTGGGAAATGTTTCAGTCAGAAGTCCAGCCTGTTACAACACCAGAGGACTCATACAGGAGAGAAACCCTTTGAATGTCCTGACTGTGGGAAAAGTTTCAATCAGAATTCCACCCTGATTCGACATCAGAGGACTCACACAGGAGAGAAACCCTTTGAATGTCCTGATTGTGGGAAAAGTTTCAGTCATAAGTCGAACCTGGCTCAACACCAGAGAACTCACACAGGAGAGAAACTATACAAGTGTCCATACTGTGGGAAAGATCTTAGTACTAGGGTTAACCTTATAAATCATGTCCTTATACACAAAAGGGAGAAACCATTTTAGTGCCCCGAGTGTGGACGGTGCTTCAGGAAACTTTCCACCCTTATCGCACACAGGAAAATCCACATGACGCCAAAAGTGATAAGTGTAGAGAAGGCTTGAGTTTCATTTCTAGTGTCCCATTGTGAGTCCAGCTGAGAAATTGACTATTTAATTTGATTAAATTAAATAGAATTTTCCTGATGTTTTGTAGGCAAATATGTAATGGTATTAGATGGGGAAGAGGAAAGAAAAAGTTGGAACATATTACTTTGATAATGGCTATCTTGCCTTCAGCGTAAGAAGTTTCTGGATATTTATTTTTGTAGAAATTGGGCAATTATATAAAAAAAAATTTGAGAGTGTTCTTTGCATTTTTATGATGGTAGATGATAGAAATGCTACGTGCCAGGAATCCCAGCCTTTTTCTCCCTGGGTCCCCCCAAGATTTTCAGCCTCAGAATTCTCCAGCCAGCATCTCTTGGGGATTGGAGCCCTGAGACTATAGATTGTGGCTCCTCATATAAGGAGAAAGCAAGAGGAGAAGAGACACAGAGGGGGTTCAAAGTTTATCTTTTTCTAACAGTTCCAGGAATTCAGCGCACCAAGCATGTCTGTTCAGATTGTGTCGAGAATGAGGCACGCAAGTGGAAGAAACCATATAAATAGCAAATATATTGGGGGAGTTTAGGGCAGTGATAAAAGCAGTGTAAAACTTCAGATGTAAAGGCTGTTCTGCCCTGCAGGTGACCTTCATGGTTCAAAAGCCAGAAGAAGCAATTGGATTGAAACATGTCAGTTGCTACATCTTCCTTCCATTTTATTCCATTTGTGGTATATGCTTTAAAACTGGTTCTCCTTCATATGAGGGTTGACTTGTGATTTTATGGACACCTTCTTTTCATGGGAACAATATGGAATTCTTATGCCACTGTTGTCTTCTGTGATTTTTTTTTCATATTTTTTATTATTAAAAAAAGTTAACATACATAACATACATGAATCATAATATATAACAATATACCCAATACAAGCAATCAATGAATGCTCCCCCACCCCTCGGGATCATTCCTGCTTCCAAAATCTTAAAGCTTCTTCTGGTGGTGGTATCCCCCTTCCTCCAGAAAACACATATATTAGGAACTGTTTCCAGATTCCATTGAATTCATTTACTTTCATTATGCCCCTCCTTACTTTAATATTACAAGTCAATTTATCATTTATGGCAATATCCCATACTTCCTTATACCATTCTTCCAAGCAATAATCACCTCGTGTCTTCCAGTTCCTAGAAATCATTAACCTTGCTGCGGTCAATAAATTTATTATCAACTCTTTAGTCTCTTTTTTACACTTTATATCTTCCAATAGTGAGAGTAATGCTACCTTTGGTGCTTCTTCTACCTTTATTCCTACAATTTCTTCCATCTCCTTAAACACCATCTTCCACAATTTTTGCACAAATTTACAATCCCACCACATATGTAAATACGTTCCTTTTTCCCCACAACCTCTCCAACAGTTATCTGAATAGTGCTGATTCATATTGCTTAATCTAACCAGAGTTAAGTACCACCTCCATACCATTTTGGATAATTCTCTTTTATTCTTACTGACATATTTCTCAACACTCTTTGTTGCCAAATTCTGTCCCAACTCTGTTGCCCTATTTGTATCTTCAAATCAGTTTCCAATACCATCTTTCCTAAATTTTCCCTCTCATCTTCCTCCAATATTTTATAGATTCCACTCATTAAGCCTTTTATCCCTTTATTTTCTTCCTTTACAGTTTCATTTTTTTTCAATTAATTCCTCAAACCTCGTTAGCTCTCTACACTCTCCATTTTCTCTTATCCAATTTTTAGTCCATTGTTCCACTTGGCTATAGTTTAACCAAGACAACCATTTTCCTCCTAGAACCTCTTCCAATTCCCCACGTGTCCTCATTCCTCCTAACCATTCCCTTAGTTTCATTTTATTTTTCTCTTTTAAAATTTTATTGACTTTATTCTTCAAATTCCCTGGGAACTTTTCCAAGATTACAACCAGTGATAATGGAGAGTTCTTTGGAAGCAACCTCTCTTTATATTTACTCCAAATTACCCAATGAAACTTCAGGAGAGGATTGCTTATACTCTCAGCCCATTTCTTTCCACCTTCCATAAAAAATATATTTTCCAGCTTCCATTCTAATTTGATTTTAATTTTAGATTTATCTTCCAACCATTCCAATTCTGTGATTTTTTTTTACCAAGCAAACAAACACAGGATTTCCTAGTGGTGCACCATCCATTTATTATCCTGGAAGAACTGGGTTTAACCTAGGATTTTTTAAATAATAGCTATTGTGCACCCTTTGGGTTGCTCTGTTTTATAGACAGTCCTCGCTTACAGCTTACTACTCAGCCTTTAAAATTACACTGGTGCTGAAAAAGTTGACTTACAAATGTTCCTCAAAGTTTCCTGGGGTTTGCTAACTTCTACTGGCAATTCATCCCAGCCTTCATGGAAGTGGCTCTGCCGCTTACTGAACTGCTAAAGACAGGACCCTCCCACACAAAGCTGTGGCCGATGTAGCCACTAACCTGGATGCTAAACTGTCAAAAAGCGTTTGAAAACTTGAAATGGCTGTTTGCAGACAAGCCCATCCTTCAGCACCTAGACCCAGATAGGCAGTTCATTGTCCAGGCTGACGCCAGCGATGTTACAGTGGCAGTAGTGTGAAGTTTCTGAAAGATGCCCTAATTAAGTTTTGCAAGTTGACAGAGTCCTCCTCCAGGAAGACCCCCAAGGACGGCTGCTTCCTTGCACATATGTGTCCAAAAAACTCATGGACACTGAGTGGAGATGGGCAGTAAGGGAGAAGGAAGCCTCTGCTGTTTGTTGGGCTCTTCTATAGTGGCGGCACTTCCTAGAGGGAGCCAAGATCCCCTTCAAGGTATGGTCAGACCATAAAAACCTTGAAGCCTTAAAAGACCCCATGAAGGCTCTCCCCCAAACAGGTCTGCTGGGCGCAGTACTTCAAACGGTTTGATTTCAAGCTGAAATACATCCCAGGGGGAAAGAACCTGCTTGCAGACTCCCTGTCAAGGAAACCCCAATATGACAGCCAGAGGGAGGACATCATCCACGCCATCATCCCAGACACGCAGAGTGCGGTGCAAGTCACTACCCAGAGTCAGGCCAGCAGGCGGACTGTCCCCATCGATGGGAAGCTAACTGCTGCCTTCAAGTCAGCAGTATCTACTGAACTGTGGCTAGCCGACAATCAAAACAGTTTGACGACCCATGATGGACTAGCTTGGAAAGGTTTGGAACGGGCCTGGTGGCTCAGCAGACTAAAAGCATTGTGATTAACACCAGCTGTCTGCAATTACTGTAAGTTCGAATCTCACTAGGCTCAAGGTTGACTCAGCCTTCCATCCTTTCAAAGGTAGGTAAAATGAGGACCAGTTTGTGGGGGCAATAAGCTGACTTTGTATAAATATAAGGATTTATAAATAAAAGGATGCAGGCTATTGCTTAACGCATTGTAAGCCGCCCTGAATCTCCGGAGAAGAGTGGCATATAAATCAAATTTTTAAAAAAAGGTTTGAAAATTTACGTCCCCAACAGCATGAGACTCCTGGTGCTCCAGTGTAGCCATGATTCTCAATTGACTTTGGATTTCTAAAGACCCTTCATCTGATTAGACAGCAGTTTTGATGGCCAAAAATGAAAGCTGATGTGGAGGACTATGTAAAAGGTTGTGCCACATGTGCCAGCAATAAGACAAGAAGCTTCCTGGTTTGCTTCAACAGGTAGCTGAGCCCAGCCACCCGTGGTAAGAAATAGCTATGGACTTTATAGTAGAGCTCCTGGAAAGTGGTGGAAATACTGTAATATGAACTGTGATAGACCTGTTCTCCAAACAGGCCCATTTTGTTCCTTGTTCTGGACTCCCCTGGGCTAAGAGATTAGCCAAGATGTTTGTCAAACAGATATACTGGCTGCATAGAGTTCCGTGATGATGATCTCTGATCAAGGAGTTCAGTTCACAGCTAAGTTCTGGAGGGAGTTCCTGAGGTCCATTGGGTCATCTCAGGGGCTTAGTGTCATGCCTGGAAGCCATATTACCTGTGTGCCTTGAGGATCCAGGCCTGCCACAATCATATCATGGGAAGTTGAGAGGGGGGATTGCATGAGTGAAGTAGAGATAGCCATAACAAACTTGGCTTAGCTCGGTTTTCCAACCGAGTACGAACGGAGTCATAGAACGCCCTAATGCCATGATGGAACAATACATCAGATGTTATGTGGATTACCAGCAAGATAATTGGGCTAACTTGCTTCCTTTCACAGAAGTGGTTTACAATAATGTGCATAGTAGTATGGGACTGACGCCTTTTCAGATTATGAGTGGTATGAAATTTGTCCCTATGCCAGAACTGCCAAGAGAACAGTCTTCTTCCATGACTCTGAATGGATGGATGGAGTCATTAAAGAAAGGCTGGGAGAATACCAAAAAAGCCCTGAATGAAGCAGCCGAAGCATATAAAAAGCAAGCAGACATACATCGATCTGTCCAACCCTCCCTTTTGGGTGGGAGGTCGCATGTATCTTTCCACCAAATACATACGTTTGAGTTTGAAGAGTAAGAGGTTAGGACCAAAATATTTAGGTCGCTTCCCCATAGTGAAGGTGATTAACCCAGTGACTGTACAGTTAAATCTCCCCCACATACTGGGAAAAATTCATCCTGTTTTCCATTGCAGCCTGTTAAAGCCTGCTGTGGGATCTAAATTGAGACCTCAACCTGCTGCTCCCCCAAAGCCGATTGTGGTGCAGGATGAGATTCATTATGAGGTGAAGAAGATTTTGTTCTCTAGATTGCAGAGGGGATGTTTGCAATATTTGGTTCATTGGAAGGGATACCCCTTGTCTGAAGCCAAGTGGGTGAAGAGTTGGGATGTTCAGGCAGACACCTTAGTTAGGCAATTTCATGATAAATTCCCTGATAAGTCTAAGGGTCCTCCTGGGAGGGGGGAGAGATGATTAATGTGCTAATTGTGTTAACCCCTGACTTCAATCTTGTTCCAGGATGCATCCCTTTCCCGGGGGATGGGGTGGGGAAGCCTGTCAGTTTTGGAAGACAATTTTATTTTTTGCTTCGTAACTGCCACATTTTTTTTTAATTTGATTTATATGCCGCCCTTCTCTGGAGACTCAGGGCGGCTTACAGTGCATTAAGCAATAGCCTTCATACTTTTGTATATTTATACAAAGTCAGCTTATTGCCCCCACAAACTGGGTCCTCATTTAACCTACCTTAGAAAGGATGGAAGGCTGAGTCAACCTTGAGCCTGGTAAGATTCGAACCTGCAGAAATTGCAGGCAGCTGTGTTAATAACAGGGTGCATTAAACCACTGTACTACCAAGGGGTAGTTTTACCTGGGGAAGTTAGGAGGGGGTTGTTGGAGCGGTAACAACATTCTGTATTCAAGGACTTTTGCCTGTGCCTGATGGAGACTGCCTAAAGATTGTATCCAGTTGAGTGTGAAGAGTTGATTGGACAATGTGATGAATTTGTGAGTGGGGGGCAGGGCTGTGAACTGTCAGCTGGGTGTGGAAACCCTGGAAGCTTTCAGATTCGGGTTTTCCCAGATGTGCCAACATGACATTTCTAATAAATTGGAACTATGAGGAACCTCAGGCCTCAGAGCTTTATTTTGTTTGGGATGTTCCTTGGAACTCTGACAGACAGAAGAAAAAGATAAGATGGAGATTATTAAGATGGAGGAGCCTTGGTAGTACAGTGGTCTAAAGCACCCTGTTATTAAGACCAGCTACCTGCAATTACTGCAGGTTCGAATCTCGCCAGGCTCAAGGTTGACTCAGCCTTCCATCCTTTCTAAGGTAGGTAAATTGAGGACCCAGTTGTGGGGGCAATAAGCTGACTTTGTATAAATATACAAAAGGATGAAGGCTATTGCTTAGCACATTGTAAGCCGCC